CTGGGGCCACGTTGCTCCGCTTCCCGTGAGTGCCTGTCAGTGGGCAGGGGGCGTGGATAGGGGTCAGAGCGGTCAGGGGACAGGGGGATTGGGTAGGGGGTGGGGTCCTAGGGGTGATTAGGGACAGGGGTCTCTGGAGGGGGCGGTCATGGAACAAGGAACGGGGGGGGGGCCAACACAAGTTCGATATAACGCGGTGAGATTTTTTGTTTCCCGAGGACTGCATTATATCGGGGTAGAGGTGTAGTTGAAATAGATTACATTAAGTTTGCCTAATTCTCTACCTAAAGACAAGTGTGAATATGATGCATACTTTCTCTTTCCTGCTGCTCTGTTCCGTGACGCCCAAATTTATGTTCCCATAAACCCTACTTTTTTCAGAAGAAAGAGTTATATTAATATATGTTTCACTTTATTGTTTAATTAAACTCATAGATCTTGGCAAGATTTACAAGTTCATAAAGGTAGGTCAAACGTTTGGCCAACCATCCTTAATAACGCTGCTTTATGCATAATCCTGTCCTGGATAACTGAAAAACATTTCAATTTAGAGAGAATTCTACCCGCATCATACATGTCTCTCTATTGGTAAAAAACAGATGAAGGCTTTAAAAACAAAGATTTGGTAATTCATAAAAATAGTGACAAGAAATATAGTATATAAACAAACTATAGACAAAACTGCTGCTAATAAAACAGCTTTCAGAGTTTTTCGTAGAGAAGTCAACTGTTATTTTTAACTGTAAAAGGAAATTCCATTGCTCAAGTGTGCAAAGACTTACCACCCAACAACAACTTAAGCCCTGATCCTACATCCAGGTTGAGCTAACTGCAGGACTGGAGCAGCACCTAAAAAGCAGATGCAGGTCCCTACAGGTTAAGAGGGTAGTTTTGAAGTATATATGTATATAGTGGCAAAACTTGAAATGAAGCCGAACATCTGAGAAAAGATTTTTTGTGTTTTGAACGTTTGAATGTTACCTGCATTTCACAAAATACTAATAACTTTCCCTGCAGGTCTATGATCTTTTTCATCTCCTTTCAAGTCAAAATTAGAAAGGTTATTTATCAAAATAAATACAAATGCCAGATAAACTGAGAGAAAATGTTACTAAGATGCTTTCACTTTCATCTGTTGTATAGTTTCTATTTCATAGCCAATGTAATTCATGAATCCACATGGGGTTTAGCTGCCTCAGTTAATACTTTAAATGTTAAAATTGCATCTTTCATCAATAGGGGTTAAACATTTTGGCAGTAGAGTTAGAACAGAACCCAGGACCTAATTCCCAATTCACTGCTGCAGAAAAAAGGACAGTCTCAGGGTCAGGGATGATTTCCCTCAGCATGCTATTTGTGTTTTATGAGCAACTCTGACAGGCCTTATTTCAAGTCAATTTTTATAACTAAATTATCTCTCTATTTGAATGAAGAATGTGTCAATCTGCATTTTGAAATAATATTTAAAATATCACTCACGTAAGAATCCCCTTTGAAGATAACTATTGTTAACCGTTACTACCGTCCTGGTACTTCAACTTGTGTGACCAATACTCACCCTTTCCTCCACCTCAGAGATTAACCTCCATGCTGATTCTCCCCTAATCCCTGCAAGGATAGAATTGCCCTAGATCCAATATTTATGAGATAAATGGCCAGTTCAAGAAAAACTGAGGCCTGTGGAAAACTGTACAATTCTTCCTCTCTCATTACAATCTTAAGATTCAGTGAACACCATCTTGCCTCACTTGACCTTAAATACCCTGCAGTTTAATTTAGGGTAGAAGGAAAAACACGTGTCCAGAACTGGTGTGTGTATTTCAAGAGTTACAGATGGAGGTTTCCTATTGTCACTTAAAAAAAAAAATCACATCAGCAAACACGTTTCTTTGCTCAGGTTACTAACCACACCTCAGTGTATTAAGTCAAGTAAGAATATTACGTTATTTATGCTCTGTTTACTTTCTGCACTTCGCTCAGTTTAGGCAACTTGATGCCAAGCAGTTGGCCTTACAGGTGTTTACAGTCCGTGTGGCTCTCAGGGGCTCGGCGCTGCAGGGTCTGGGATTTCACAGGTTGCTAGAGGGCTGAGCTTCACACAATAAAAATGAAGGGGGAGGAGGGGAGATGCGCCTCACTCAGGGCTCCGAAGTAGGAGGGGCCACCTCCCTAGTGCCCAGGGGCTAGGATACCCCCCCCAGCACGTCAGCCTGCCCCCAGCGGGAGCCGACAGCCTAAACCGGCCCTTAGTACCGGCTGGCACGGGGCGCGCCATGACCCCCGGCAGGCAGGCAGGCAGCACCGCGGCACCACAGAGTGTGGAGACAGGGGGAGGCTGTGACGCAGGCTGAGCCCCCATCCCCGGCTCGGGCGGGCACTCACCGCTCATGATGCCCTGAGTCCGGTCCCTCCCCGGTACTGCAGCTAGCCCCCCTGCTCCCGCTGAGACAGCGCCACAGAGGGAAGCGGGGCCGGGGACACACAGAGCGGACACCCCGCCCCGGAACTGAAGCCCCACCGCCCCGGAAGGTAAATACAGGAGCCTGAGGGCGCGCGAGCGAGACAGCTCCGACATTCCCTCCCTCCTCGCCGCGTGCGCTTCCCCAACCGCCTAGCAGGAGCGCTGAGAGCTGCCCGGCCTGGGGAAGGGCGCTCTCGCGCCGGGGTCCTGTGATCGCCCCGGGTGGGCGGGTCTCTGGCTAGCTCGAGCGCAGGCTCTTCTCTGCCCCGCTCACTGCGGGAAGGGCCCCATTCAGCCTCTGGCCGTTCCCAGGCCCCACGCCCAGAGCCGTTGGGGGCGGTGGAGGGCCTGGGCTGCTTGGAAGGATGCACAGCAGAGCAGCGGCTGGTTGGAAGCAAAGTAATAACCACTTCAGTGGGAGATTTAGGTCCAGTTTTCTCTGCTAACTAATTACCTGGGTTAAAGAATCAGAGGCAGTCAAGGAAAAGGAACGCTGGTGCTGTCAGAAAGCAAAAGGCCAGGTCAAGATTGTGGCACTAGCAACTTCAACTTGGGGAGAACTGGGGTATCCATGCAAACTTTGCATCACGGGTTGTTGGTTTTTTTGGTAAGGTGAACCAAAAACAAAACAGATTATCAATTGTGAACCTTTTTTCCACTCCTGAACATAGAAGTGCTGCAGAGCCTGATCTGTTTTCAGAGTAGCAGCCGTGTTAGTCTGTATCCGCAAAAAGAACGGGAGTACTTGTGGCACCTTAGAGACTAACAAATTTATTAGAGCATAAGCTTTCGTGGGCTACAGCCCACTTCTTCGGAACTTCATTTCTTGGGACCAGCCCCTTCTGATGGAACTAAAGTAGAAACCTACATTCACAGTTCAGGCCTATCTAGCAGCAGCATGAAGCAGCACTTGAACTCCAAGCCATTCTACTCTTTTAGAAACATAATCATCCAAATGTGAACATCCACAATAGATGTAGTCCTGTGGTAATTTGGAAGTTTCTGCAGTATTTCTTTTCTAATGTGCTTCATAAAGCAACTTCCCCTTCACTGATTCTTTGCATGTACAGATAATTATTTCAGAGCAAAGCTGTATCTTCATAATACTAATTTGAAATTATAAATACCATATATAAATAAAAGATGGGTTAAACTAGTGAAAAATAAAATATTCTAAACTTTTAAATACAGGTGTCAGGTATCATTTAACCAAAAATAATCCCAAATTGTTGATGTTTCAAAATACACAGCACCAAGAATAACTACAAAAGTAATTGGAAAAACTAGGTAGCAAAGCAAATAAGGATAAAATCTACTTTCTTTGATTAAGGGCTATATCCACACATAGATCCAAGGACTTGTACAGGTCCCAAGCACAAATGAAGATTAATGCAATTGTTATAACAGAAACAGTTACAGTACATCTTATTTAGATTCTCATGATGTATGGCTAGGCCAAAATTTTCAGACTTGTGTGGCCAGAGTTACGCATCTAAATCCAAAATTAGACGCCTAAATATGTGGCCTGTGTGTCAGAAGTGCAGAGTGTGATGTTCAGCAAGTTTCTTGATCTTTTTCCTTTCAGTTCCTCAATTTCCCCACCTTTAAGATGTGGGTTATTCTTGTCTTAATTCACTCATGATTGTTTGTTCACTCAGATCCTTGGATGAACAGTGCTCTAGTAGTACAAAGGTGATTATTGCTGAGCACAAACAGCCTTCATTGACTTCAATGGGAACTGCAAGTGCTCAGCAGCTATGAAAACACTTATTTAGGTGCCTAAGTATACCTAATTTTAGGTTGATTTTTTAGCATGTAGCTAGTTGATACTACTAGTAAATCCCTGCTAAGTACAAATAGATCATTATGGAGCCCACGCTAAAATAGGGAGATTTTACATTTTTTGAAAATGTTTGATTCATAAAAGAAAGCCTTCCTCTACTATCAGAAATCAGATTGGCAATTAGAGGCTATGCAATACCATCTCCTCTTCCAGTATAGCTCACAGCTGCTATCTTAACTGGGTATAACTGCATATTCCATAAATGTATCCAGTATTAGAGCACTTCCTTTGCAAGCATTCCCATTTTCATTGGGCCCCAAAGTCTCAGAACCTGGATCTCTGAAGTGGTACAAAAGTGATGCTACATACCTTTTTTTTTTTACCTCTCAGTACTACAAAAACATTTTGTACAAGATTTATTTGTGTGACATAGTCATTAAATATATATTTGAGCTTGCTTATTGATGGCATTTATGCACATCCAACCTTTTGACTAGTAAATATAGTCTTTAATGATAGTGCAGAAAAGTTTTCCCCACATACGGGTTCTTATAGCTTATAAGTTCCAGTAAATAGCTCCCAAGAGAGACTAAAATTAGAAATAATATAATACCAATTAAAGTTAAATGCAAGAGCTATAAAGAAACCACATGTACTATCCTTCTCTACTGACAGCAAATAATAAAATTTATGAGTATACTTATACTGGATGAGCTGATTGATTATTATGTAGTAAAAAATGCTTCCATTTCCCTATCACAGAGTCATCATAGCACCTGGAATATAGCTGCAATATTCAGAAGTCTTTGTGGTGACCAGAACAGTAGCTCCTTCCTCTGTCGCTGGTAATGGGAATGAAGTATCAAAGCCAGTTTGGAGTTTCACCAAGCCACAGTCCCCGCAAGTGCATTCCTCCACTGAATACATCAGTGATGCTTCACTTTGGAGGGAATCTCCAATTATATCTGTATTCACACTGGTCTCAATATCAGCCTTGAGTATAACATTCAGCTCCACTGCAGACTCTATGAAGATATGAAAAGATATTTTAGTTCACATGTCATGCTATCTCAGTAGTAAAGTCAAGTCATAGAATCTACTGAACGTGTCCCCCGCTCCCGAATTTAGGATGGGCATGTATGGAATCTATTATATATATACTATCATATACATAAATAAAATTAACAGAAGCATGTTTTGCTGTAAATATCTATGGATATGAAAAGGTCAAAAATTAATTTAATTCTTTCTGCCGCAGGGAAAATATACTTTATATATGGCTTTGAGAAGCTACAGAGTTGAATCAAGTCAATTTACACTTTACAAGCTGCAAGGCTAATCTTCCATTTTTATTCTCCCTCCAGGTAAAATTCCTTTTGACTTCAATGGCAGGAAGGACTGGGCCTTGATAAAGAAATTCTGTTAAGCGTTTATAGCAATTTTCCAATGCAAAATAGGATAAGCAAGTTAAAAATATATATTGAAATAAAAAAGCAAATGTGATTCTGTAGCCAAGACCAGCGGGCTCCTGACTACTATTGGCTATAATATGATATCCTTACCCATGTTGGGAAGTACTTTTTGCCACAGTTAGCCCCATTGACTTTAGTTCATCTATTTGTGGAATAATGTACTCTCCAACATGAGTAAAACTATCAGAATCTGGTGATGTAGGCTATATTAAAAATTATAAATTAAAATAAGATAGCAGAAATTCACAACAATCTGAAAATATTTTACGAAGAATTGTATTTATTGACAATCATATTTTGTACCTGTGTTTTTCAGTTCTTCCTTTGATTGTTTTGGGTTCCTCATTTTAAACAAGACCATTAATATGAACACTGTGAATGTTAAAATCACTCCTATTCCCAAACCGATCCAAAGAATTCCATCTGATACTTTTACTTGACCTGTAGTACCTTTTAAAATAAAGGAGACATATTATGTACATTAAAAACAACAAGCAATTAATATATAAATACATGGCCTAATCTATAAGCCTCTCACATCTCTAAGGAATAATTTCTTTTTCTGGTGAGTGACAGCTAGGTAGCTTGAAACATTTACTTTTCCTAACATAGTTCAGTTGATATATAGAATGCTGTGTTTAGGTCTTCAATCTTGTACAGATTTTATACTTGGTCTGGTAAACTTTAGTGACATTTTTCATGGTTTATATTTAGAATCAATGCAAAGTATAAATGTGAAAATGCACAGCACAAACAAATAATGTTACAGAATTGGTACTTACTCTCATTACAATAGCTCTGACATGAAAAAGGTGGCTTACTGGAACATCGAAGGTGACAGGGTATACAAGATTGCAGCAAGCTGTCAAAATACTCATTTTTGAAGCAATGTTGAGCCATCGGGGTCAGTAATTAGTGAACTAGGAAGCCACAGAAATAGTTAAAGAGTAAGGACAAGCTAAGGAGGAAAAATGTTTCCACTTCTCACTTTGTATAAACAGTGGTAAGTGTGGCCAGCAACACCAGCTAAATATCAAGGTTCTTCTTTAAAAGAGTATATTAAATAATAGGGATTTCACCCTGAGGCTTCTCAAGGGACTCTGGCTGCTCATTTGAATAGCAACTGCAGATTCAAGTTTCTAGAAGGACCATCCAGCTGGATGAAAGTAATTTTCAATGTAAATTCTGTCTGAAACAGAAACTGATTATTTATAGAGGACATTTCTCAAGCAGGTGCTAAACACTACACACTAGAAAAAGTCTGAGGATGCCTAAACAAGCATTTTCATTAACAGGTAGTCCCTTTCTTCAGGAGTTTGTTGTATTCTTTCTCTCAAACTGATGGATCCATACCAATTATATCTCATTCTAGACTGCAAACTTCTCCATGAAGCATTGGTTTAATTTTTATTCTTTTCTGTTCCATTGCCACCACCAAACAACGTACTGTATTGTTGATGAATAGAGGAGAAAAAAGAGGACAAAAAGAGGCCGTGTTGTCTAGTGGATAGAGAAGGGGGCAAAGTCAGTACACCTACAGAATGTATGCTTGGTGAGGCAGGTGCTGTACCCCTCCTCCTCTCAGATCCTCCGCTTCCCATTGGCTGGGCTGGGAGGATGGGCGGGCTGATTGTTTCTCAAGTTCCCTTCCCTGCCACCTTTTTAAACAACTCCTCAGCTTTTCAAGCTGCCCTGCCCTTCCTCTCCTTACTTGCAGTTTTCGGATGCTGCAGATCTGACCTATTGCTGTTTTGGGATCAGGATTGAATTTTTCCCATTGGCCCAAAGGTCTGCTGTTTTTTTTGTTTGTTTTTTCACTTTCTTTGCAGTATCATGGAGGCAAAGTAGCATTGAAAGGAATAGGACTTGAAAGTGTAATAATAGGAAGTTTATGATGACTGTTTAGCTCATTGCAACTTGCAGCTAGTCTCCAGCATGGATAAACGCTAAAAGGGCCAACTCCCAGAGGTAAATGAGGCCTAGGACTTCACTGGTTGACTTTGTGTCTATTGGAGAAATGGAAACCTGACATTGTCATGGACCGAGATCCCTCCTTGCTATCCTTGATCCCTCCACCACAGGGGGAGAGTGTGACAAATGTGGACATTTTCTGTAATATTTTTATGAGCTATTTTTGACTCTCTACCTACCACCTTGGCACTGTTACACACGGGGGGGAAAGAATTCATTTTCTTGCTAGGACATGAAAGATCCAGCTAGGTATTTGAGACATCTAGCTGTTGGATTGTCTGGGCAGGAATCATTTGAATGGATGACCCTACATAGACAAATGGAACCCCAATGACTGAAAATTAACATCTAGCTGCAGAGGCAGCTGAAAATGTGAATATAGCTCAGTTGTGTCCAGAGAACTAAGATAAGAAGTGTCAGGTGGCTGTGTTATGAGCTGAACACTCAGAGACATAGGCTCTGGCCTAGAAATAAGATAATGGGAGAGACAGAGAAATGAAGCAAAGATGGTTTCTACAGCAGCTTGGTTCAAGGGAGCCCTGGCTTTAGTATTTCTGAACTCTGTCTTAACCTTTGCTCCTCTATGATAACCTAAGGACTTTCAGATTCTGTAGACCAGGTGATTAACAAATTGTTATCCTGTTTTTAAAAGACTGCCTGGTGTTACCGCAAATACTTACTGAGAGCATTGTGCCCTGAAGGAGCACAAACCTCCTGCAGGAGTCTGGTTTGGCTGGATCTGGTCCAGGGAGTCATGGAGAGAGACAAGGATTGCTGGCGCCTGAAGGCCTTGTTTCAGAGTTGTGGAGCCACAGACGTTCCCTTGTGGAACTGTGTGGACACTTGGGGTTTGGCACACTAAAGGGGTCACTCCCAAGGGACTGGTTACAGGTCTCGTCTATGCCCTAGTTCTGTGAATGCAAGACAGAGGGCAAGAGGATTCAGAAGTGAGCTGAGTTTTGGGGTTTGGCCAAGGAGGGTCTACCCCAAGTTATTGATTAAATAGTAGAAGCCTTGTAACCCCCCACTGGACACAGTCAAATGGTTGGTGTGTGAAACTGTATGGGGTGTATAGCACACTTCCCGGTGTTAAATTAATAAAGTTGTGGTCTGCCACTGAATTGGATCCCTGTGTCTTGTCATTAATTCACCTGCATATACTGATACTCGATTCTCTTCTTGGGTACTAATGGCAATTATTATGATTTGGCTATAATATTCCCTTTTTTAAATACTTATAATAATTCATTATTGCAGATATAAACTGTGATAAAAGTTTCTGTGTATACAGAATACATTCATACTGAAGGATAGATGGGAACCTGCATACTCTCCTACCCTCTTTCCCCATATCCCACCACACCAGTGCTTGGTCAGCATCATTTAGCTTTTCATTTTAATAAGTCATCATAAAGATGTTTTGTAATTCTTTACATGAATGGTTCACAAATGCAAGCCTTGAGAGGATCCAGCAGCAGGGCATTCTTCCTAATAATCCTGAAACTAAAGCAGGTCCAGCAGTCCCCACAGCACACAATTAAATATTCCCATCTTCCCTAGTGGGAACAAAGGTGAATCCTCACCTCAAACATAAGGAAGCAATGATCTGGCCTGGGTCACTTTCATCCCTGAGTCACTAATTCTGTCAAATACCCAAGATATGAAGTGTTCCCAGTTGTATGCATAGGGCCTTAATTCACCTGGGATAAGCCCATGGTTCTCAATAATGACCACGAGATTTCAAAGAGAGAAGGTGGGTGAAGTAATATTTTATTGGACCAACTTCTGTTGCTGAGACAGACAAGATTTTGAGCTTACACAGAGCTCTTCAGGTCTGGGAAACTAACTCAGAGTAGTTTCCCAGACTCGAAGAAGAGCTCTGTGTAAGTTCAAAAGGTTGTCTCTCTCATCAATAGAAGTTGACCCAATAAAAGGTATTACCTCACCCACTTTGTCTCTCTAATATCCTGGTACCAACACAGCTACAACAACACTGCATACATGAGATTTCAGGTCAGTCCAGAAAATCCAGTGTCCACATGGACACTGAAGTCACTCAAGGCAATAGGCCTGGATGTATTTGAGTAAAATACTTGTACCCCAAGCTATTCCAAATATGCAGACACTCCTTCAAAAGTGGCCACTGATTCTGAGTGCTTCTGTTTGTGGAGTTATCTACCCAACAATTAAAGCTCCCAAAATCAGTTTTTAAAATGTTGGCCTGAAACTATCTTGACATTTACACTAGATAAACAACCTAGAACAAAACTGTCATTGAAATAAGGAATGCCCTGCATCTGAAATTGGTTACAAATGGGTAACTTTCTCACCCTGACCCACCCTGGCCTTCTTTTGCACTATGTATCCATCTAGAGCAGTGGTTTTCAACCAGGGGCACGCGTACCCCTAGGGGTATGCAAAGGTCTTCCAAGGGGAACGTCAACTCATCTAGATATTTGCCTAGTTTTAGGCTACATAAAAAGCACTAGCTAAGTCAGTACAAACTAAAATTTCATACAGACAATGACTTGTTTATACTGCTCTATATACTATATTATATGGCAACATAACGTGCGTATACGCACTGTATTAGACATGCGTTTTATGTCATTTACTGATGTATGCAAACACATTAATGAGGTTGAAGTTGTCATAGAGATTCAAAATATTAGTGTCACGGCCTTGCATGGATAAATTTAGATCATTCAGATTGCTAAATATATCTGTGAAGTAGGCAAGTTGAGCTAACCACACAGTATTGTCGAACACAGAGGCAAGAGGGGATGAATGATCGAAAAGAAATCCGTGAACATAAGCAATCAGCTGAGCTTCTCCACTAATATATGTGGACTCATCAAGTGGAAGGGCAAATCTTTTTGCCTTTTTATGTTTCTCTACAAGTGGAGAGACAACATCCTCAGCTATAATTTCAATTCTACAACACACAGTGTCATTTGATAAGGGTACTTTCTTGAGAGTATCAGCTGCTTTTTTATCAAGCATGTTTTCTGCAAGCACCATAGAGGCAGGCAGAATAAGATCTTCTGAAATTGTGTACAGCTAATTTGATTTTGCTACAAGAAGGGAGACAGCATATGAAGCTTCAACTGCTTTTGTAGAAATACTTGAAGCTTTTTTCATTTTAAGCTGCTAAGTCTGGAACTCAGAAAGCTTTCTTCAAAAAAATTCTTCTGTGTTATCTGCATGCACGGGATGTTTTGTCTTCAAATGTCGTTGCAAATGCGCTGGTTTCATACTGTTATTTGATAGAGTTTCTCCGCAAAGAAACACAAAGCTTGAGGTGGATCACTATTTGTAGAGATGTGAATCCAAAAGCAATATATTGTTTGCAGAACTGATTATATTTTTTTTCAGTCATTTTCAATTTCTTACCATTTTCAGGTTTCAGAATAGCAGCCGTGTTAGTCTGTACCCGCAAAAAGAACAGGAGTACTTGTGGCACCTTAAACACTAAGGCCTGGTCTACACTTACCCCCCAATTCGAACTAAGGTACGCAACTTCAGCTACGTGAATAACGTAGCTGAAGTCGAAGTACCTTAGTTCGAACTTACCTCGGTCCACACGCGGCAGGCAGGCTCCCCCGTCGACGCCGCGGTACTCCTCTCGTATAGCTGGAGTACCGCAGTCGACGGCGATCACTTCCTGGTTCGACTTATCGCGTCCAGACAAGACGCGATAAGTTGAACCCAGAACTTCGATTCCCAGCCGCCGAACTAGCGGCTGGGTGTAGACATACCCTTACACATTTATTCGAGCATAAGCTTTCGTGGGCTACAGCCCACTTCATCGGATGCATAGAATGGAACATATAGTAAGGAGATATAGATACACATACAGAGAACATGAAAAGGTGGGAGTTGCCCTACCAACTCTAAGAGGCTAATTAATTAAGATGAGCTATTATCAG